GCTTCTTAGATGACGTATTTTAATGTACTTTAAATACATGGATATTCATTCGTCTCAGCTAATGTACGAATGATTTTAAAAACTTATAGAATGTTAGAAATTAATATATGATTTCTTTTTGTTCATAAAAATGCAAATTATTTTTCTTTAAAACATGATGCATTGTTTTGGAAGCTAGTAGGAATAATTGCTGGATTTGTATAATTAATTTTGAAAAATGTGTAAGAAATAATTAGTCAGTCAAGCAATAATGTTATTCACACAGCACTGTTGATTTGTAGTTCAATTTAGTAGCTTAACTTTTATTACATTTAACTAGTTTAACATTTCTATGTGTAATGATAAGTTCATTATAAATTCTAACGTGTGAAAATGTAAAGAATTTCAATAGAAGATATTACCTTATTTTTGATTTTTTTTTCAAATGTTCGATCATTTTTTGATTTTGAATTATTCATACATTATTTTGATTTATTCGTACATACGACCGCGTATTGATATGTATATGTATACAAAATTGCATAATACAAATTTAAAAAAATCTGCACACCGTATTTACTGATTTATTCATAGCTGACAGTTATAAACCAGAACTTTCCGCAGTCACAAGGTCACGTCGCAACGTACTTTTGCGACATCTTGATAATTTCGATAAATGCAAATAAATTATTAAAATGAGCTCTATGAAACTGTGTTATTTTTTATTAAAAATTTTGAAGATTTTCGTAACACACTTTACACAGTTCAGGAGTTACTGAATCTTTATGTCAATAAAGTCTTCATATTTGTCAAAGATTTTAAGATATAAAGAGATATGTAAAAGTACATATTGATCTGTATAATTTGAATGTCTATTTTAAGAAATCAATTGTAACCATTTAAAAAGACTTGTTAAGATCGAAGATAGTGAAGATTAAATGCAATCTCAATTGACTCTCTTTAGGCATACATTATTATGTAAATACGTCCTGCAATGGCATAATAGGTATCATTTTATTTAGAATCTATTTTTTATTTTCGTAACACCATCTTTATACGAAAATTGTAAATAAGTAATATTACATAACTATATTATGTAATATATTACATACTACAATATGCATATTGCAATTTCCTCTTTTTCTCATTTGAGCAAATTCTGTTTGTCCAGCTGTCTTGATTTAACGATTGTTTTGATACGTATTACTGACACTTCAAATACTATTTGCCACCTGCATTACGAAAAAATATAAACTCTAACTAATAAGAAATCGATTAATACACTATAATCGTGTAAAAGTTGTTCGATCCAATTATCGCCACGATGAATTACAAAGTAGTTGAGTGGTTACAATTGTATACTGAAATCTCATGTTATAATTACTCAAGATACGCACAATGGAGTTTTAATTGCTTTATTATCTATTTACAAATAATATAAAAAATGCAGCCATGATAATGTAATATTCTACAAGGATGTGTTGGATTCGTGTAGTAATCTTCTTTCCACAAGATTTAAATTTGCAGTGTGTCTGCTCGTGTATGCGAATGGACCATTATCTCTTAACATAATGAGAGCAGAAGAAAAGTATAAAAAGATAAAAATTCTACTATGGTATTATGTAATAAAAGAACATTTTCTCATTTTATTGATTTATGTAAATGCAATATGTCGAATGCAACCAAATGCTGCCATGTCAGCCGTGTGTGGTTTAATTTTAATAATAATTTTAATGTGGTTAATTTTATTAAGATCCGCGAATGGTAAGAATGTTAGAAAGGTAATTGATGTCATGTGCAACTTTTCTTCGCAATTTTTATTTAATTGAATAAAATACTTCGATTTTATGAAATAATTGAGGTTTTCGGCGCGGCTATCAAAGTGTTAAAAGCAATTTGGAAACAGGCAATAAAGCTTGTCTAAAACGACGTCTCGCGTCGAGTGTCTTGTTTACATTTCGAATTCCTACATTTAAGATTAAAGAATCATATATACGCCTGTAGATTCCGAAATAAAAATAATTGAATAAATAAGCAACAATTATACAATAATGGTATATCTGAAATTAAAATTCATCGTCTTTTTATGGCGATATGTATGACCTTATGTATGTGTACACAGAGATTAGAGATGTTTTTTTTAGTCTGGCCGTCAGAAATTTTACTTGCAGCACTTGAGTACACAATTCAGGCTGTTATCGATACATACTCCCTTTTTTGCCAGGTGAGATTTATTTGAACTGTTTCGTAACTTTGGCTGTTCTATAATTACACGTAACATCTCGAAAGCCAGTATGCTAACATATGTGCCAACACACACACACACAAAAATTATATTTTCAGAGTAAAGAACGAAACTTGTCTGTCGTATTTTTCAAATTAGTAATACAATTGTATTGGTATTTCCCATTTGGGATATTATTATTGTTTTAGAAGTTAACTTGCACGCATGCTTAAGAATCCTGTTGTCATTCTTCATGCATATTTTTTAATAATTATGTGACTTTAGATAAATATATTCCAATTTCCATTCTTTCGTGATAACGAAATAATTTCTGAGACATTTAAAATTTAATTGTTCAATGCACGGTAATTAGTTACTTTACTTTACCAACACTGTGATCAATGTTTGAATTTATACATATATGTACGTAAATCTATGTATAATCTGAGTTCCATGTTAGTTTAGTTGATAATCTGGTAAAGAGGACATTTAAGGTGACTCTGTGAGTTTTAATGAACTCTCAAGTTGAGCTCTTAAAATGATTTAATAGTTTTAAAAATCCTAGTAGATGATAATACTAATTTGATATTGAGATATTTGAGCGATCAGATTATCAATGATAATAACGTTATCATAGAAGAAAACGATTCTTTCAATTCCTTAGCTAGATACTTAATAAAATTCATTCCATAATAATGAGCGCTTTTTGATATTGTGTAACAACGTGTGCAATCGCGGGAAATACAATATACATTGTATGTATATATGTATACATAGACATTAAATCCTGCCATTTTGTAGGTAGCAAACAAACGTGAAATTTCGACTTTTTTATTCAGATTTTCTTTGAGTCAACGTTAATTTTGAAATTTTCGCCAACAGTAAGACAACCATTACCGTTAAATTAAACAATGCAATTTATCTGTGATGCTGTATAAACTAATTTGTACCATTGAATGATATGATACGTAATGAATTATTTAATTCTCGATATAATTATTAGAAGCAGTTATACGAAATGTGCATTTCGCTTTGTTAACACACAGATGTAAGTGTAACTTCATTTTCTAACGAAATTGGACTTTGGGCACTAACGGACCAGGAAACAGTGGCGTTTAAGCAAATGATACAATACTTGAGAATCCCGACAGAGATACAAAATAATAATTGGCGAAGTTACAACGCAGGACCAGACAACGCTATTTGTACAATATGTCGAGCAATAGTGAAAACATTTATGGATTTCCGAAGAAAGGGAATGTCAGAAGAAAAAATAAAGGATAGTGTAATCAAACTGTGTGTATCACTGAATATACAGAAAGAGCCAGTTTGTAAAGGAGTTATCGAATTGAATATGGTAGTACTCCTTTTATTGAAACAACCATTGAAATACATTTACATATTATCATAATTATTAACGATTATAACGTAATTTTTCTAGCCTACTATTATATACATAATAGATTCGAAACCAAATTTGACAGCTGATACAATTTGTGGTGTTATCTTCGAGTCTAAATCATGTCCTCTAACTAATCCTGAATATGAGTGGAGCATTGGTATCAGCAACAGTTCTGTGAAACCATTCGTCCCGAAGGAGACAAATGAACAATTAAAAGTTTTGCAAATTACGGACTTTCATTATGACCCATATTACGAGCCAGGCGGTAATTCACAATGTGGAGAACCACTTTGTTGTCGGAAAGGACAAAACCAAACAAATACAGGAACATCGGTTGCTGGATATTGGGGAGACTATGATTCCTGCGACACACCCTGGAACGCTATCGTTGACGCTTTAACTCATATAAAAGATACGCATCATGTAAGCCAGTGACATCAGTCACTTCCGAGAATATTAATATAATTGAGATTAAGCTTAATAATATAATTCTTCCATTGCAGCGATTTTCATGAAAAAAATTCAATCTTCCGCATAGGATAAGAAATTATGATCGCTAACATTATAGAAATAAAAATTTGCATTATTTCAAGTCATTTTTCTTCTACGTATATTTTTTTTACTGTACTATATAATATAATTACAAGCAAGAGTAAAAAAGTTATTTCGTGGCAAATTTGTTATAGTTGTCGTAAGGGACTTCATTTAAAATGAAACGCGATGCAGCGTATATTAAATTACGACAGAATGGGACATTATTTAGTCGATCTCAAATATTTTTGTATTATAAAATACTAATATGACAATTTTGTAATTTTTATAAAAACAGGCTGTACTTGCAAGTTTTTATTTCGCGAAGAGTTTGTCAAATTACGTTCAGATTGAATATATGTATATGTATTAGACTTTTTTGGAGTAAAGCGCGGTTTTCCAGACATTGTTAATTTCTATTCATT